GGCCCAGTTCTCCAATCCCACCCCATCCCTCCTGTCAGTCCACCCTGCTGTGATGACTTAGGTGCTGCTGTAGTGCTGAAAGCTAGGCCACTTGTGTTTCAAGTATGAACAGGGTTGCCCATGGAAAATGGACTTCAGCCAAGCTTCCAGACTAAGACAGACTAGCAAGAAGGCTAAGTATACACAGACAAGGAAGCAATCATTTGAACAGAACATGGCTGCATGATTTAAAAATCAGGAGTGTGTCAGGGTTGCATCCTTTCACCGTACTTACTCAATCTGTATCCTGAAACAAACAATCCGAGAAGTTATCCTATATGACAAAGGATTCCTCCAAGATGGAAGGAAGGCGCGTTAACAGCTTGTCATATGCAGATGGCACCACCTTGTTTGCTGAAAGTATGGAGTCGAAGCATTTGCTGTTGAAGATCAAGGACTACAACCTTTGATACGGATTATACCACAACATAAAGAAATCAAACATCCTCACAGCCTGCCGATAGACAACGTCATGATGCACAGAGACACGACTGACGTTGTCAAGGATTTCATTTGACTTGCTATAGCGGCAAAAGCAGTTGGGTGCTGACCAAAAGGTCAGTGGTTCAGGAGCAAGGCATGGAAGTCTGCTCCCGCCAAGGTTTACAGCCTTGGATGCCGGATAGCAGGGTTGGGGAATGTCCGCCCGTGGGCTGTGTAAGTCTCAAAAATCATCCACACCACTTAACATCACACACACACACCTGACCCAACAGAACTTGTTCCAGCCATCGCATGAGGGATTCGTTAGTTAAATGTTTGACCAGCAGGGCCCTGGAATAGTGTTATAAATATCCAAAGGACTCTTGGCAGGGAAAAAAAGTTCCCTATCTCTACCTTCCAGGGCCACTGTGGGTCGGAATCAATTCAAGGGCAATGGGCTTTATCCTTTGGTTGGTTAGCTTGGGGTTCTCTTAGAGGGGAGATGGGATAGGAAGGGTCTTTGCTTCGAGGGGCACTGAGTGTACATTGATGGTGGTGAGACACTTTGATAAAGGGTGGCAAGTAAGGGGGCCTGGGAGGGGCGCTCAAGCTGGAGGCTAGGCTGATAGAGTGTGTGTGTGTGTGTGTGTGTGGGGGGGGATCCAGGATGGAGGCTATGTAGGTGAGGAGATGCAGGCCTAGGGACCAGGTGAATAGGGAGATCAAGGATGGAGACTGGGGACAGGGGGGGGACACCCAGAATGGAAACTGGGTGGGTGGGGGGACCCAGACTGGGGCTGGGCAGGTGGCAGGTTGGGGGAGGGCACATGGAATGTCTATGGGCTGAAGCAGGAAAAGATAAGTCTGACTCTAATCCAGGGGGGCTCTCAACTAGGGGTAACACCCCCAGACACACTCATCTGGCAAGCTTGGGAGAAATGTGGGGTTGTCACAATTGGGGAGGGGCAATATCCCCCTTAGTGACACCATCCAGTGGACAGGATGCTACTGCTCCCCGACAGAAAATATTCCGGACTCAAATGTCATGACAAGACACCCTGCTCTACTGAAACAGGAAGGGGACACGGGTGGTTTGGGGTTTCCGAAAGGTACAGTTACATGCCCAGTGGCTAACCACAAGGCTGGCAGTTCAAACCCACCAAGTGCTCTGAGGAAGAAAGATGAGGCTGTCTGCTCCTGTACAGACGGACAGCGTCAGAAACCCTACAGTGCCGTTCTCCTGCCCTTTAGGGTGGCTATGGGTCAGAATGGACTCCACAGATGTCCAGGAGGACTAGGACGTCGTGAACCCGGGAGGTTGCTGTGGGGGCTGATGGTCGGGACACCCACCCTGCCTCACTCTCTGCCTAGCAGGAGCTGGGACCAGAATCAAATGACCTCTGTGGGCAGAGAGAAGGGAGTCCTTGTCCAGCTCTTCCCAGACAGGAAGGCTCCCTAGCCCGGGCTGGACCGGCCAGCCTCCTAGGATACGTCCCCAAAGCAGTCCTCCATCCCATCCTATCCAAAACCCCCGGAAATGCCCTGCTGGGTGACATTGGGCTTGATGACAGAGCCCGGGTGGTGCAACACTTAAGAACAAAAGGCCCTGGTTCGATCCCACCCGGGACCAATGTCAACCCAAGCCCACAGCAAGCTCCCAGCAGCCCACCCAATGCCATCGAGTGGGGGATTCCAGCTCATCTCAACTGACCAGGGCTGACTAAAACTGCCCCCTGGGGCTTCTGAAGCTACCAGTCTTTAGAAGAGCAGACAGCCTCGTCTTCTCTAGCGGAGAGGCTGGTGGGTTCGAACTGCCAGCCTGGCAGCTGGCAGCCCAACCTGTAGCCAGCCCCTGATGTCCCCAACCGGGGGGCTCCTTCCCAACAGCCACCAGAGCCATTAACGATCTGGAACGATGCCCCTCCCAACATGCCCGCCCCACCAGAATCGCCAAGAGGCATCAAATCTCATCTATTCGCCCAACGTTGTTAAACATTACCCCGAGTGGGTCGGGAGGGGGGTGGATTGGGGGCGCAAGGAGGGGAAGGCTCCGGCGGCGCGCTGCGGGCACGAGGTGCTGAACGCGCCCCCTTCACTTCAGAAAGGCGTGCTCGGCGTTCTAGTCTCAAGTGCGCCACCTGCCGGCTCGGGGGGCTCCGTGCAAACCCGCACAAAAAGGGATCATAAAACACCAGGCGCACTGGCGGCAGGGTCGGTTAAGGATTGGGCTGCTAGCCATAAATTCAGCAACTCAAACCCACCACGTGCTCCTCGGGAGAAAAATGGGGCTTTCTGGTCCCAGTAAAGATCTACTCCGCAGAAACCCTTAAGGAGCAGTTCTGCCCCGTCCTATGGGATCCCGACGAGTAAGAATCAACTACTAGCCAGAAGGGTGATCATTCAGACCCACCCAAAGGTGCCACGGGAGACAGCCTTGGCGCTATGCCTCCAAGAGTGCAGAGCCTTGAAACCCCGTGGGGCGGCCAGGCGTCCGAATGGACTGGAGGGCCGTTACCCAAGTGGGGACAGAAGCACGGAAGGCAGCCCTACGAAGTGATGGTTCTAATTGTTGCTAAGTCTTCTCCCAAGGGGGGTGGGGAGGGGAGAGAACTGCTTCCGGGCTCTGTACCTAGTGCCGCTCCAAAAGCAAATATTTATCACATTGCTGGAAACCCTCACTGCCATCGACTCCGTTCCAGCTCACACTAAGCGGCCTTTCGAGGACAGGGTAGAACTGTCCCTTGTGGCTTTCCCAGATGGTGACTCTTTACAGACGAAGAAAGCCTCCTCACTCTCCCTGGGAGCGGCTGCTGGGTTTGAGCTGCTGACCTTGCGGTTAGCAGCCCTAAGCGTAACCACAACACCACCGAGCACTCTTACTAGCTGGCCAAGCAGGCCTGGTGGCAAAACAAACAGCTGCCAGTGGAAAGGTTGGGAGTTTGAACCCACCCAGCAGCTGTTCCTTTTGAGAAAAGGCTCCAGCAAAGACGTCACCTAGCAAACGCAGTGTGAGCAGTTCTGGTGGGTCACCGGGTGTGGCTTCCAGTTGAAATCCACTCCACAAAGCCGAACAACAGCGCACAAAGCAGATAAAAGCCCCTGCCCGGGTGGAAGTTCTAAATTCACGTAGAAGTAGTACATCTGAGCCCGGGCAGCCCAAATTCAACGCCCCAAATACCCAGGCTATAGAGAAATTGAGGAGCAGGGAAGAGTCTAAGGACTCCTCTTGGATTTTCTTAACAAGTACCCAACCCCATCAGCACTCTTGACCCGTGCCTGCTATTTTGCCAGGCCCTGGGGGCTCCAGGAAATCGAGTGGCAGAGCCATTCCCCAAGCCCCAAAGCTTTCTCGCCCACCTCATTCACCAGGGGGCCCCAGGAGGGCCTGTGATGTCCCTCTCAAGCCCCTTCCCCTGCCGAGAACGACTGCCTTTTATGGAGCTGGGTGAAGAAGTAACTCAACAGATATTTTTAAAGCAGGACCTCAGTCTGCACAGTCGAAAAGTCTAGTTATGCTCTCCTACGTGATTGGGTCCCAGCCTATAACCATAGCAGGGAGGACACTGGGGCTGGGGTTTAGGACCCGCCCAGGGGGCCAGGGGGAAGTGTGAAGTGCAGATATCCCCACGTGGCAGGCAGGGGAAAATCCTTCATGAAGAGTGAGGCCCAGTGGTGGGGGAGGGTCAGAGACATGGGGCGGCCGACCAGAGCCTAGGCCTGGATGGAATTCCACAAACAGGGGTCCAAATCCCAACTCTGGCCAGACTTTGGGGCCGGTTGAGTCAGGAGACCCTCCCAAGTCTCTGTGAAATGAGGAAGGGCAGGGGCCAACTCCAGGGGCCACCGTGGGGGTCCAGAGAAAGAATTTGGCCCCGGGCCCGACAGCCACACTAATTGCAATGATCGCGATCAGAGCCTCCGCTACTTCTCTTCCTACCACCGTGCGCAGGTGTTGCCAGAACTCCCGACACCGGGAGAAAAACAACGGAAAAGTGTAAACACGGACTTAGGCCGGTGGCCCGAGCTTTAAACCCGAGGCCATCGGCAGAAAAAAAAAAAAGGTCTACAACTCCCCCCACACACACAGGCACGGCGTAGCCCACCATGGGGACGCCAAAGAACAGCCCCTGCACACATAGCCAGCCACGCCAGCCGTGTCCAGGCCGCCCGAACCCAGTGACCCGTCTTCCCGAGGCGACCCAGCGAGAACGCGTGTCCCTCTAGGAGCGCGCGTCGGGCCCGGGGGCGGGGAGAGGAGCAGGCGTGGGTCCGAGCGCGCTCCGGAGAGGCGTCCGCGGCCAAGCGGGCACTGGGACAAGGTTCCCCGGCCCGGGACCGTCGCGCGGAGCTCGGAGCCGCGAGCCCGGGCGGGCAAAGGCCAAGGTCAGCGGTGGCCTCCCGCCCCCCGCGAGGCAGAACCACCCGCTCGGCCCCCCGTGTCCCCGGAGGGCTCTCGGGAGTGGTGGGGGGTGGGGAGCTCCGCTGGGACGGCGGGGTCCCCTCCGCTCCCCGGCCCAACCGCGCGCCCCCAGACTCACCTTCTCCAGGGTACAGGTGGCCGGCGGCGCCCACCAACAGCGCGGCCACGGCCACCAGCAACGGCACGGCCGCCGCCCCCCGCTGGCCCCCGGCGCCCATGGTTGCGGAGTGCTGGATCCTAGCGGTTCAGAGCGCGCGGGGTCCCCTCCGCTCCCCGGCCCAACCGCGCGC